TTTTTTTTTTTTTTTTTTTTTTTTTTTTTTTTTTTGGTCTTTGTGTGTAGAGCGGAGACACAAGGCTCTGAGGAGACTTTGGAAAGGAGAAGCCTCATTTGTTAACTTTCTTGATCCACAGGCAACAGCCATATCCGTCATTCGCGCGCTAAAGTCCTTGGTGGTTGCTCTAGCCACAATACCCTTATCTCTTTCCGTCCGTTTGAATATGACTGCCAGAGGTGGGAACAGCAAGGTTGCAAGGGCTGGTCCTTTGAGACCTTCACCCGCATTGTGGACAACCTGCGCAATACCTTTCAACCTGTCCACGCTCGTCACCGCAACCAGCTCTGCAAGGATTGGGTTGAGGCTTGCTCCTCTGCTATGAACATCCCCATCATTCCTGACTTCAACAAGGAGATCCGCGAGAATGGCAAGCTTACTGAGGGTGTTGGATTCTTCAACGTTTCTTATAACCCGGACGACGGCCGCCGTAGCAGTGCCAGTGTCGCTTATATCCACCCCATCTTGCGGGGTGAGGAGAAGCGCCCCAACCTGACTATTCTAACCAACGCCTGGGTATCTCGCGTGAATGTTGAAGGAGACACCGTTACCGGTGTCAATTTGACCTTGCAGTCGGGCGCCAAGCACACCCTGCGGGCCAAGAAGGAGACCATCCTGTGTGCCGGTGCTGTAGACACTCCTCGCCTAATGCTGCTCTCTGGGTTGGGTCCTCAGAACCAGCTAAACTCCTTGGGAATTCAAGTGGTTAAGGACATCCCTGGTGTCGGTGAAAACCTCCTGGACCACCCGGAGAGTATCATTATGTGGGAGCTCAACCGCCCCGTTCCCCCCAACCAGACCACCATGGACTCTGATGCTGGCATCTTCTTGCGTCGCGAGCTTCCTAATGCCGCTGGTTCTGATGGCCGTAGCGCCGATCTTATGATGCACTGCTACCAGATCCCATTCGATCTCAACACCAGTCGCCTCGGATACGACGCTCCTGTTAATGCATTCTGCATGACTCCCAACATTCCTCGCCCCCGCTCTCGTGGCCGTATCTACCTGACCTCGGCTGACCCCAACGTGAAACCAGCTTTGGATTTCCGTTACTTCACTGATCCCGAGGGTTATGATGCTGCCACCATAGTTGCCGGTCTCAAGGCAGCTCGTGAGATTGCCCAGCAGGCTCCTTTCAAGGATTGGATCAAGCGTGAAGTTGCCCCCGGTCCCAAGGTCCAGACCGACGAGGAGTTGTCCGAATATGGTCGTCGTGTGGCCCACACTGTCTACCACCCTGCTGGAACCACAAAGATGGGTGATGTTTATCGTGATCCTCTGGCAGTCGTTGATCCTCAGCTGAAGGTCCGTGGCCTGAAGAATGTCCGTATTGCTGACGCCGGTGTCTTCCCTGAGATGCCCAGCATCAACCCAATGTTGACAGTACTGGCCGTCGGAGAGCGTGCTGCTGAGTTGATTGCTGAAGAGGCTGGATGGAAGCGTGAGCAACCCCGCCTGTAAACTTGTCTTTGGTCCCTTACTTGGGATACCTCGCTGTTTTGCGAAGGCAACTACCTAGGGGGTATATACGAGCGACATTGGAAGTACTCGGATGTCGTACGATTCATGACTTATGTCCACAACATCGAATTGAAAAAATGAAAAATGCAAAAAAGACGAGGCGGGAGTTCTTCATCGCTACATGTTGCACTATTGGCAGTGGCTAAATGGATAGGGCTATTGTATTACCTTTCCCATATCTTGTATTCCTGTACTTATTCCTATGATTTTGAGCGATTACAGTTTTAGCGCCCGTACGTAGCGCCATCGGGCTCTATAGAAATTATTCCAAGATTTCAAACCAGGTGTCCGTCCACATAATCGCTTAATTGGTAGAAAGAGCATGGTCGAAGTAGAAAGACAGATGCACAGGATAAAGTAGTCATCGCGGGTAACGGTTTTCCCCCAATCTTAATATTTTTGGTCTAATCTATATGAAGGATTCTATAGTCTTAATTCTATCGTGAATTGCTCTCCAGAATACAAGAATAACAGCTACGAGGTATAAATGAAAGTAATGAACGACATCGGCAAAAAGACAAATCACGCTGTTTGATACACAAAACAAAGAGACACTCAAGAATAGGAGGTAGCTATAGGAGAAGGATAGGATAAGGCAATCTAACGGGAAATTAAAAAGAGATAGCACGAGCACAAACCGGGATAGTATAGCATGTGTATAGCACTCTGAAGGCGTTAAACCTCACTGTTGGCAGCTTCCTTCTCAGCATCATAGATCTTGACGCCGCGCTTCCAGACTTGATCAATCGTCAAGGTAGGCCCAGAATAAGGATCTGGTGCGTCAGTTAGGACGACTAGATCTGCATCTGCATCACAGTCCAATGTTCCCTTGACACCTTCAAGTCCCAAGAGACGTGCGGGTGTGGCAGTAACCGCATTCAGGGCCTCCGCGGTCGACGCACCGGACCATCGGCGGAAGTTGTTCACACATTCGATGAGGGTGGCGGAGCTGCCTGCAATCTTATCGGACCCCTCAAGCGTCAACCGAGCTCCAGTTTTGACAATGCGCTCCCCGTTGGTCCAATCGTAGACACCATCCGGGAGACCGCACAACTTCATGGCGTCAGTCACGAGAATGAGACCGCTTGGATGGGCGTTGTACGCAATTCGAATTGAGGTGGGATGGAGATGGATGCCATCGGCGATGACACCATAGAAAGGTCGGCGGAGCTCATTTTGGCCCAGAAGACCAAATACGCCAGGGTTGCGATGGTAAAAGGGCCGCATAGCATTGAAAAGATGGGTAATCATGGTCGCGCCTTGTTTGGTGGCGCTCATAGCTTGCTCATATGTTGCATCTGAATGTCCAATTGAATAGATAATATCTTGGGCGGTCAGGTTTGGAATATTGTTGACCATGCTGCCCACTTCGGGGGCAGCTGTGATCATTTTTACTGTTTTCGACGGCCCGAACATATTTTCCTTGCCATAGCAGCTAACAACATCTTCAAAATTCTCCGCGGCACGCAAAACATCAGTTTTGTGGATGCCATTGCGGCCGGGGCTGATAAAGGGACCCTCCACATGGGCACCCAGCGACTCTGCACCATCTTCTGCGCGATGCTTGGCTCCAGAAGGACCTAAAGATGGGAGGACCTAAAGAATATGTTAGAAGCTTTGATATTGATATTGATATTTGCATATATCCTGTATCGAAGGGCAGCAAGGAGCCAGCAACTTCAAAAAAAAAAAAAAAGGTCGGACATACTTTCCAGTAAACTTCCGGCGTTGAACTAACGACGGTTGGGAGATATGATGTCACACCGGTTTTGGCGAGGCCCTTATTGACCATGCGCAACCCTTCATCATATTCCTCTTTTGAAGCTTTGGGAACAGAAAAATCAAAGCCTTGGGCACCGTTTAACTGCACATCGATAAGTCCTGGAGCAAGGATTCGGCCACCCAGATCGATGACCTCATCGGGAGACATGTGCAATTCATAAAAGGCTTCCTGATCGCGAAGAATCTTTCCAGATAGAGAGTCAACCCAGACATCTTGCTCGACGAGTTTGTTACCGTGAACAATCCGGCAGTTGGTAAATTTTGTTATACGTGGTGGGGTAGCTGTTTTGCCAGGCATGGTGAGGAGCAACCGTTTGTTGGTGACGATGATGCAGAGAGCAAGAAATGTCTTCGCAGTTGCTGACAAGAAAACAGTAGATCATCCACAAGAATAAGAGGAGGACCGAAGGAAAGAGGGGAAAATTATGTATATGAATAGGGAGTAAATGAAGATCTTTCGAATTAAAGACAGAATGTGAAAGGCTACATCATGGACAGATAGTAACATCCATCACGGCCGACAGACACACGCAAATGGAACGGGAATGTCATCCAGAAAACGTGTGAAGAAAATCGACATGCAGTGGCTCCACGAGGCGTCTATTGTCTCTTGAGGTTGCCTCCCATGGGGGAAAAAGTCCCACTACATGAGAATGTGACATCGACAGGAACGAGGGGGATGTGACGTCTATGGCCTGATGGGGCGTGACAAGAGATTAATATCAGGAACTAGATTCCATGGGAAGGAAGAGGGGTTCTTCCCATTGTGATGTATCACCAGGTACGTTTTCCCCTTAGGAATAAGAAGAGGGAAAATAAAAGATGAATGCGATTCATACATCCATCAATGCAATCCCCTGGTGTAGTGAATACAACCTGTTCTGGAGTATAGAGTGGCTAAGTCAGTAATATGATTGGTAGGGGGTTGATTAGTCATGAGGTAGATATAGCAATGTGTTATATACTAGTTCCGCTAAGGGTACCAATACATACCGTCTTCATACCGATTGCAACCATACAGTTAAATTACCATACAGGGAGTGTTTATGTAGGGCATTGCAGACAAGATCTGCATCCACCTCTGTGTATATTACAGACCAGTACCATCTGTACCATATAAAAAATAAATTAGTAGTACAGGTACTATAGATTGTGCATGTATTAGTAGGGATTGTTCTGCAAGAAGACACTAGGTAGATGAGCTTATTCAATCATTGTACTGACTATTCCTTCTGCTCAACACTGATATGATATAATGAATTGCCATTTCTTTTTTTCCATTTCTGTAGGGAGAGCTTTACTGCTACTAACTGTACGGTTTCATCAAGACCCACCAATACTACGCTACGACTACTGTACCAGCGGAAACTCAATTTGCCTCCCCGCATTCGGCATCGCCTTGGACGGGTCAAGGTTGCAAACAGTCAATGCTACCGTCCCCTTTGGCTTTTCGTTGCTTTCCCATGGAACGATTCTGGTTGGACAGTGGATAAGTCTAGAGATAACCAGCCACACTTTGGGAAAAGTTCGTGGATCGCGTCTTACCTGTAAGCGACTTGCTACTATGGTAGGGAAAGGGAAAGAAAAAAGGAAAAAGTATTACAAGACCCAATGAGAGAGAGATATTTACGCTCAGGATGTCTCCTCTCTCCTTCTATTTCTTTATTCACCACTTATCGATGTATATCTCGGCAATAAATCCATTCTCTTTATCATAGATAGCACCGAATATAGAAATAGAGACTAGACTATAAGACTAAACAGGACTAAAAAAATGTATGATTGAACACGCGACTCGGGGACTGAGACATAACAGTTATGACCCTAAATTGTCATTCTTAATCTTGGAAAAACTTTTTTATTTTTCAAGCCCTCCCTTTCCTGTTACTCAATCATTCCCATTTCGACTTGTCTTTTGGTTTAGGGCTAGTTTCCTCTTCTGTTATTTACCAAATTGTTTCGCGCATTTAGGACTCCTATTTCCCGATCGGCAATCTATTCATTCGCTGCAGTTTCTCCGCAATTTCCACTGGAGTCGTGGAGAGTGTGTGATCCAAGAGATCCGAACTGTGGTTGTCGATTCCTAGGCAGTTCTTGGGTTGATTCTCCGCTGCACCCTTCCTTTTATAGGGTTTATTTGTTGGGTTCTCCTTCTCTTTTCCTCATTTTTTTTTAGCCCTCCTTAATTCTCGGACTGCAACACTCGTGGAAAGGAAATTTCCACGACATTATTAGTCTTGACTTGACATCGTGCAAAAACACTGATACCGGGTCAACGCAACATTAGATCAAGGTATGTTGTTTGTCTTCGCTTTTCTTCTAGAATCATGGCTTTGTCTCTCCTCCCCACTATCAAATCGTAGATGTAGTATTGTTGTCATCTATGGTGGTATCCGCATGTCTACACTACACTACACTACACAATTACACATCATTTGAAGTTTACAAGCACCAGCTGGATGCTACTTTGAAGCCCCAAGCCCAAGATACTCCGCTTAAAACATATGGGGTTGATCGGATTCTGCTATTAATATCCCATATTTGTTTCGCTTTTTCCCTCTTCTTCCTTACCCCAGATTGAGATCCCCAACATCACAACAAACATTGAACATTCCTTCCTTCCATTGTTTTTGTCTCCGCTTGTGTTGTGGTGTCATTCTGTGCTACTTCAGTTCTTGCGAATTCTTTGTATAATACTTATATTTTCCAAAACCGAAAACCACCCGACCTAACTTTTCTTCTTTTTTGTCTACAGATTTGATACCCTTCTATTTGTTCCTTCCATTCACTTGCTTCCGGTAACTTCCCTTTTCTTCTCTCTCTCTCACTCTCTCTCTCTCCGTTTTCCATTTTTCTTGCCTTTTTTGACGTGTGTATCCCTCTCCCTTTTCTTTTGTTTATCTCGTTCCACCTGTTTGCCCCCCTTTTCCTTGTCTCCTACATTCTTCCTCAACCCTTGCTCTCACTCTCCTTCTTCAAGCTTCACCACCACCAAGCATTCCATCCTTGTCTCTCTTTCTCCCCTTTTGATATTTCTTTGATCCACTCTTGTGCATTAGACTGAGCTTGAACATTCCACTTTCAGGTACTGACCGCTTTGAAGTGAACTGCTACTCTCCTAACAAGCTTTTATCCAGCCTCTTATCACAGCCCTGAGGTTTTCCCTTCCTGCATCCTTCAAGCAATGGGTAACTCAACAGTTGGCGATGATAATCCTGCGGAGAAGGAGTTTGCTGCCGCCACATCGGATCCTGAGGCTGGTCAGGACTCTGTCTCGGGGAAGCCATGGATGTACAAGTCTTGGAAGATTGGCCCTTTAACGCTGCCCTGGTTTGCACACCCGATGACCCAGCTCGTTCTGGTCTCCTTTGTTTGTTTCCTTTGCCCTGGCATGTTCAATGCTGTGAGTGGCCTTGGGGGCGGTGGCCAGGTCGATGCAACCGATGTTAACAAAGCCAATACCGCATTATACAGCACATTTGCCGTGGTAGGCTTCTTCGCTGGTTCCATTGCAAATCGGATTGGCCTCCGCCTGACTCTTTCGTTTGGTGGATTTGGATACTTCCTCTATGTGGCATCTCTTCTGTCATATAACCATAACGCCAATGCCGGCTTCCTGATCTTTGCTGGCGCACTACTCGGTGTCTGTGCTGGGTTGTTGTGGTGTGCCCAGGGAGCCGTCATGATGAGCTATCCACGTGAACACGAAAAGGGCAAATACATCTCCATCTTCTGGGTGATTTTCAACCTCGGTGGCGTGATCGGCAGCCTGGTAAGTTCTTTTGCTCCCGTATCCTGCTCTCGTATATGGTAGGTGAGGAGACACTAATGATTCCGTTCGTACGTATAGGTACCTCTTGGCCAGAATCTGCATTCTACCGCTGGTAGGGTCAATGATGGCACTTACATAGCTTTCATGGTCCTTATGGCTGTCGGTTTCGTTCTCGCATGGGGCTTATCTGATTCAAAGTACATTATGCGCTCGGACCGTTCACGTGTCATTGTCATGAAGAATCCCTCCTGGAAATCAGAATTCAAAGGTCTTTTTGACACCCTGCGCAGTGATTATTACATTATTCTTATGTTCCCTCTGTTTTTGTCGAGCAATTGGTTTTACGGTTACCATTTCAATAGCGTCAATGGCGCCTATTTCAATGTCCGCACTAGGTCTCTCAACAGCTGCCTCTATTGGCTCATGCAAATGGTCGGTGCCTTCGTCTTCGGCTTTACTCTGGACATGAAGTTCTTTTCTCGGTCAATGCGCGCAAAGATAAACTTCGTCCTACTCTTTCTTCTCACGTTGGGTGTTTGGGGTGGCGGTTATGCCTTCCAGAAGCAGTATACTCGTGCCGACGCGCCGCTTGATACGGACTGGTCGGATAGTGGCTACGTTGGTCCTATGTTCCTTTATATGTTCTATGGTTTCTACGACGCTGCCTTCCAGACCTGCGCTTATTGGTTAGTTCCCCGCCTTTCTTTGCCTCGTCGCCCACACATCACCTGCCCCGTTCAAATTACGAAAGTCAGGGGTTGATGATTAATTTCTGTATTACAGGTTTATGGGATCACTTACCAACAACGCCCGCAAATTGGCAAACTTTGCCGGCTTCTACAAGGGAATTCAGTCCGCTGGCGCAGCGGGAATGTGGGCGTAAGTCACTATACAATTGTGTCTTCCCAATTGAATGCCTCAAACCTTTACTAACGACTCCCTTCCATAGCATGGACCTTGATAAGGCTCCTTTCATGACCGAGCTTGCCTCTTGTTGGGGTCTTCTCCTCGGCAGTCTTCTGATTGCATCCCCCATCATCTTCTTCAAGATTAAGGACCATGTAGACATCGAAGAAGATCTCAAATTCTCCGATGAAACAGCTCATGACGTCATGGGTAACATCCCTATGGAAGAACAGACATCTGGAAAGAGGGAGGAGAAGCGGACGTCTGTCGCTTAACCCTACCTAGTGTCCATCGTTTGCTGCTTATTTGGATGTATTTCTTTTTTACGCTAAGGTCAACAGTTGATATCCATGGTGACATGTTTGGGTAGCCTCAGTGGAAGGTTTCTCGTTTACTCTTTACCCCAAGGTACACTTGGGCCTACAGTTTGTGATGTACCATTGAATTAATGCTCAAACAAAAACATGTATTTAATTACCCCCAGTTGTCACGAATGATTTAATATAAGAATTTAACGGATCTCTGTCTTCTGACGTAAACTGAGAAAGCCGAGATGGACTGTTATATAATTTGCAGCTGGATTACGTGCTCATACCCCTGGTTCCTATGGCATGCCTCGAAGTGACAAAAGCCTATGTCTTTCCACACAGACTCCGTACCTGCATATACATATACTACTACGTTTTGGACATTACATTTCTGCTTCAGGCAACGTGACGTCATATTGTTTCAACTGTCTCGTCATATGCTATGCCATCAGTGGATTCCTATGACGCCAGCACTGGACATGCCGGTAGCCGTAGGCAGCGACACAGACGACTGCGTATGTGTGGCCGTGGCCGTTCCGTTCGTCTTGTAGCTGGGCCAGATCTTTTTCTGGCCCTCTGCGATATCCCAACCAAAGAGCGTCCGGTTAAACAATTGCAGGGAGGCGATGGGCTGGTAGTAGGGGACTTCATGGCCTGCCTCATAGACACGGGTGAAGGAGAAATTACCATACTCGCGGGTTTCCCCATACTCTACGCCGTTGACTTTCAGGGGCGTGTACCCTGCGCTTCGGAACTGGGCGGCGTGGGAGTAGTTCGCGGCGAGGGAAACGGCCTCGCCGCCAAACCAGTTGCAGATGTAATCGGCGTCGCCATAGATGAGGGAGACACGCACGGGGAGAGCGAGGATCTCCTCGAGGTCTTCGATGAAGTTGGGCCAGACGAAGTCGCCCTTCTGCTGGAAGGCGTAGTAGACATCATTGTTGGACTGGGTGTAGTTGATGTTGACGCCAATGGCGTCCATGACAGAATCCTTTGCCAGGAAATCGTTGTAATAACTTGGCGGGGTTGGGTCCTGACACCATATTAGGGATTGCATTCGTTACATCAATGAACGATGCATCGCGTGGCATGCAGTGCGAATATAGGGGGGAAACTCTACTTACATCGTATGGATGCCGAATATCATACACACCACGACCACCAAAGGCGTAGTATGGCCCTTCTATTACTCGGGTTAAATCATGCCTTGTGTTTCAGGGAGGGAAATAAACGTACCAACATTGTCTCTGCACATGTTGGTAGCTTCGGCGCAGAGGGCGTAGTCAGCTAATGCGGTGCGGTTTGTTTGTTTGCAAGCGGAAATCATATCTTGGCAACCGTTTGGCATTTGGTTGGCAAACTTCATGTAATTGTAGACGGTCTCGTTGACCTTTCCATGGTGATGAGTGTTAGTGGGAATAATCCCATGAGCATAAGCGGAAACTCACAGCCTTGATACCATAGGTGTTGTTCACAGCGAATTCGGGGTAGTAAGGCGCCTGTGGGCATAGGTTAGCAGCTTTGTTCGGAGGGTATTATATAGGCTGTTTCGATGGTATACCTGGATTGCCTCGTCGATGATGCCGTTGATAATTCCCAGAGAGTTGAAGTTAAGCTGGACACCATCAATCGTACCGTTGGCAATTCTCTCATTCTGCTCATAGAAATGATTGAAGAACTACGCCCATTAATTAGTCTTACATACGTTGACATCTCGTCCAGGTAGAACTCACTGCAGGACCATAGTGCCTTTGAGCCGAAGGCAAACTGTCAGCGCAACCATCACAGTCATTAAAAGACTCGCAGAAGGAAACCACCTACCCTCCGTAACTCTCCGTCCATAGACTGAAGTCCTTAGATTTTATTCTAGAATCCAATTTCGGCAGTCCACCAAGAAATCCTTGAAGGATTTCCCACGCGGCCTCTGCGGCAAGATTAGTAGTATCTGCTGTCGTATCAGTAAATGGAAACATGTGGCCAGGAAGAAACCAGTACCGATTAGAGTGGCATCAATGGTTGGGTAGCGGCCCTGAACTCCTGCGAAGCTTGAATTCTCGACGACCCCAGTGACAGGGTTAATGGACCCATCAACTGTATCACTATAAGAAAATCCTATGGGCAGAACATCGTAAGTATAGGAAGACCGCGCAGTAGGGGAGGGCGCTGCAATCCATACCAACTCCCAATGGCTGGGACAAGAATAGTAAATTGGAGACCTCGTTCCACGAGTAAGGATTGATGTAATCATCAAAAGTTGAATTGATTTGGCAAGGGCCCAACTCTAACCAAGGGTTAACAACGATCTAGAAGGAGACTGTACCGAGCGTCGAGCAAACCTTCAAAGAGACCGATCAAAGAATCGCTCCCCGGGCCACCGTTCAGCCACAATGTGATAGGTGCAGTCTCTGGATTATGTCTAGCTTCGAAGAACCAGAAGAAGGTATGGGACTCGGGAGAGGTGTCGACATATCCAGAGTAGGATTTGACCCCCGGGGTGGTCTCGCAGACGCCCTCTTTACCGGGTTCCTTGTACCGGATGGTGACATTGTTTGCGGTTGTAAGGGTTTTGACCCCGGTGGGGTTTTTGGGTAGCTGTCGTCTGCCGACAGACGCCGGGGTTCTTCCTGGAAGGGCCCAGCTGGCTGCAACCAAGGGTAGCACCGAGAGAAATCCGTAGCCGCGCATGGTTACTAGGGTTGAACAGTCCACTCTTGGTCCCTCGTTTGATATATGTCCTATACGTACGCAAGGGAGAGCTGCTATCCAGCAATAAGCAAGCTGGATATAAGTTACTCGCAACGTCTTCAGTCACTGGGGAGGCTAGCAGGCAGAGGAATATCCTCTGACTTTTATACGTCGGGTACAACAGACTTCCAGCATCGATCTAGGACCCGCACGGTGAGAGGAGAGGGGGCTGTACGCAGCCATTGGGGGCCTTGGATGCAATGTACATACAAACATTGGATTGCGATATCGACTAGTCACTTAGCCTGGTAGTATTCCCGGCATATGGCATGACTTGGTTGGCACGGACGGAATCAACGGAACATTGTGAACAAGCTTAGCCCTGACGATTGCTCCATAATTATCCGCGTACGGTGTCACCATACATGGCTCATTTTCTCTAGGCAGCTTCAAACAATCCTGCTGCTTACCTGCTGTATCCGTCGGGTGGCTTCTCAACGCTTATCGCAGGATCCAAACGGAGCTTCCTAGAATGGAGAGGATCGACCGGATGAATCGATTGACATGGCTACGTGCCTCTTCAACCCCGCAATTGTCGGGGGCAGGTCTGAGGAGTCAGGGCCAATGGCGATCATTCAGGGGCCGGCGCATTGGCAACAGGGAAGAGAAAGACAACATGTAGTCAGTCCTCATACCCATACCACCAAGAGGCGTCGACCACGGGACAACTAAGGTTCACTAGATTGGCTCCTCCGTTATCGACCTGCCAGATGAGGGTTAATGTATAGCGGAAATGTCCGATGTTACAATCGGGACAGAACATTACCCCTCAAATGTGTTAGTTAGGTACAAGGTCCATACATACAGTAATAAAAAGAAAGAAGGATATTGAAAGCTTTCCTCACTATCAATTTAGATAACCACGACGAGGTGTATCAGGCAACAGCTGGTAAAGGCAAAAGCTAAACAAACAATAAGAGAAGCACCAAGCCACACACCCAACCAAGGACCCCTCGAAACGCCTCCAAGTGGTAGGAATCCATTTAGTTTTCACTCGATGACCTCACTTATCTACTACGATTCGTCACTTTCCGGGAGGGAATGGCTAGATTTAGATAGACAGAATCCAGAAAGAACTCTGTCGATCCTATACCGACGCCGAGACTCGCACGGCATGCTTAATTCAGCCTCACCAGAGATGCCGGATGCATGTGATAAAGCTCAAGACAGCGATACTCAAAGGGTTTCTAGTTGTTGGAGAGAGAGAGCTCGCGGCTCGGTCGGCTTCATCGGAATGCTGCGCTTCTGCTTTCGGTCCGACTGAAGCAAGAGACGGAGTTGGCATCTCACAAAAAACTCGTCCGAAGAGAAAAAAAAAAAGATATTAAAATAAATAAAATAAAAATAAAAAGTAAAAATCAAAATCAAATAGTAAAATTAATAAAAATAATAATTCATATATCGGTCTGTCATATTCATCATTATGTACTTTTCGAGATGATCTCTATACAATATAAACACAGTTGTTCTCACGGGGATGTGGAACCGACATAAATCACATCCTAGAGTGCCGTTACACATGATGCGCCATCCTGTACATGCCCTTACTTTTGAAACCGTCCAATTGAATGTAAGATCAAGTCACACCCAACCCCACAGATACACGCGTAATCACCCGGACAAAAGGGAAATAGAATGGAAAAGAAAAAAAAAAAAAGAAATCGTAACACATAGCTTGCTTGAATCATAGATTCAATCCAAGCTCGGCTTCGAGTTCGGCAATGCCATTAAATTCGGCCCGTGGTGCCTCGTTGGCGCCCAGCGTTGTCGAGGTGCGATCCTCATGGAGTTGACCGTCGCCTAACCCGGTCAAACCAACTTCTTTGCCCTCAGGTCCGAACAAGTCCGGCACGTTGTCCATTGTGCCGATATTGAAACCATACCCTGGGCCTTTCGGGTTGCCATTGATGTTAAGACCATCATCGGCGGCGAACAACTCCGCGCCGGTGTCATCAAAGTTGATCAAGGCGTCGAAGTCGTTCTGAGTCACCTCCGCATCATTTGCCAAATCCATAAGTTCGCTAATGCTTAGGTCGGAGTCTAGATTGGGGATTGCGAAAGCGTCCTGGTGGTAGTGTGGGTTAATGTTGTTGGTACTGCCGTTTTCACTTCCGTCTGATGGTGGCGGCGTAGAGGCGAATCCGGAGGCCTCTGCAGCTTCACCAGCCAGCCGGGTGCCGCTGGTCTTGGGGTATGTCAAGTCGGGAATCTTTTGTGCTAGAGAGTCCGGAGGCGGTGTCAATGTATTTAACCGAACGGAATCAAATGTGCTATTGTTTCGTGCCTGTACGTCTTGAGGTGCTACCGTGAGTTGAATACCGGCCTTGCGGATCGCGGCCTCCAAGAATGACGTTGCAAAGTCGGCCGACGCGTAGATCTCCCGCAAGCGCTGGAGGATGCGCATGCATTGATAGAACCGTTGCAGACTAACCATCCGGACGTTGGGGTCACTGGACTTGATATCAAGAAGATGAATGATAACGGCAGGCAGGAGCACGGTTACACCGGTGGTAGGGAAATAGCGAGTTAAATCTAAGGCGTGCAGGTCTTGAGCAATATTCGTGATCTCGACCGCGGCAAATCGAACCTTATTCCGAGAGATATCCTGTAACTCTGCGTCCGTGGAGGGAAATGGCATGGCTGGAAGAACCTGAGGACGGTGTAACGCGCTGGATGTTGTCAAGTAAACCATCTTTAAGAGAGCTCGATGGGAATGCAGGACTTCTTGTGCCTCGGTTAGCTTCGCTGGAGCCATAGGAGCGTATTGAATCTCCGACGGAAGATGGGCCAGCCAATCCTCCAGCTCCTGGTCGCATCGTCGAACCTCAAATGTCTCTGCCGCCGACTTTTTCGGGACTAGCATCATGGTTGTTTCCATTGTACCGCCAAACTTATGGCTGAGCACGGAATATTGTGCCGAAAGGACGTGACTGACACAGAGACAAAGCTTCGCCTTCTCAATGAACATGAGCGCGAGCTCTTTCTGGTGGCTCACATTTTGGAGAATCTCCGAGTTGCCCACCATGCTGACAATCTCCGGTGAAAAGGGATGGAATTCGAAGTCGTCGAGGGTTAACATGGGCACATCACAATCGTCATCCTTGACACGCATGGGACGTCTCATTCCCAGGGCAATTAGGCGATCGCGAGTGTAGGTGCTCCACCATATGCGCTTCCACATTCGCTGGCGCCGAACATCCATCCGAGAATTACCCGGGTCACGATGTAAACCGATGGTATGTGCTAGAGACAAGCTGACACCCATCCAATGCCAGGTGTCCTTCTGATCATCTGGGGTTTCGTACCAGTAGGTCATCAACAGCAGGGATTGTACAAGCGAGATCCGATCCACCTCATAGTCGAAGTCGTACAAAAGCCGGGCGCGTTGGAAGAATGATTTTCGGGCTGCCTTCCGACTGGAGTATCCAGCGGCTTGAAGGTGCTTCAGGTCAACGAAGGCAGTACCGGCAAACATTACCGCCTGAAATAGAAGAAGGCTCATGCGGCGAATTCCGTCATTTTGAGCGATAGTCTGCAGAAAGTCCTCCAGATCCAGGAGAGGCATATACGTGTGAACATAGTGTACGTAGGCTTTGAGCAGCTCATTCCGCAGTCCCACATCAGGCACCGTCAACGCTCCTTTCATTGCCAGATACTCGATATCCTCCTTTTGTAAGCGAGGTGGCAATCCTCGAATGTAATCGGGCAGCATGATGCCTCCAGATCTGGTATTGGTGAAGGAAGGATCAAGTAGTTGCTGGATCTGCGAGGTGACGTGATGCAGAGGCATGGTGGCAGGCACCGCAGGGTTGGGCGCCATTCTTCTTCGATATCGTTCAGCCCCGGCACCAATTCTGCTGACTTGGCTCTGATCTATATAGGTTGGTCACATCAGTACACACGTGTATACGTTTACACTTAACGTGTCTCGTTCCTCGGGGCGCAGGCAGATACGAACATAAAAGATGTGGCATATGTTGCCCCTGGTCCAGGTCTACAGAACGCTGGGAAGGAGACGCAGGGGCAACATCTGAGAGCCCGTGGCATTCACTGAGTCTCCGCAGAAGACTTCCGTCTTCGGGGGCCTCCGCGGGCGATTGAGAGAGCTGATGGCTGGGGTTGTCAACCTCAACACGGGATTTCCTGGAAAGTGGCAAAGTAGCGCACTCGATGTTAGCCCGCGGTTCTGCGACGAGTGAGGCAAACGGGTCATGTTTTCGGCATGGACGAACTTTCTCCTCTTGCTCTCGGTGACAATGCAGTCTACTTGATCCAGGCGGCAATTCGTACAAGGAGAGCCATTTTCCACCACGTCACAACGGACTTTCCGAGCACGGCAACAACAGCATGCCTTCGATGCCCTCCGTTTTACGGGTCGGGCACTGGCAGGGAGGCCCGCCGTAGAAGCCTTTCGCTTCCCCTTGGCCTCGTTCTCGGCCATGTTACTCGATGATGGTGAGGCAGTGAGATTAGTCATGGTGTAGTGTGCGATTTCAGTTGACGCCAAAGATCCATCAACCGGTTAACTTGGCGTGTTAAGTTAAGCTCATAAAGAGTGATGTTATAGGAGGAGGACCGATATGGTAAGGAAAGAAAAAAAAGGATAATGGAAGAAGAAGAACACAATTCCAAAACTGTTAACCAAATCAAAAAGAGTCAAGAGTGGAGAGGACCTTTCGTTTAATAATTTCTTTCTTTTTTTCTGTTTTTATAAAAAAAGAATTATGTTATATATATGTTTGGTAACAGGGGAACCACATTCAAACCTTCTTCGTCCAAGGGGACGAAAAGAAGAGGCGAGACCTGGGGTTGGGGAGGAGGAATGTTTAAGTAGTGAACTAATATGCAACACGTCCACCAACAAAATCGGTCAGGAGGCGTTGGCGTTGGGGTTGGCGATGAAATGCCCCCAGATCCACACCGTGACGGTGTTGCCTCCCCCAGACCATGGCCAACGGACTCCATCCATGAATCCAGAGGGTTTCAATATTAATCGGTCACCCATCCATTTTCCACCGAAAGGACGCTAGACCCAATTGTGGATTAGGTATTTCCCTCACTCTTGAACTAATGGGATTAGGGCGGCCTAAGTTCGGCGGGGTGGGTGGAGCGGGGAGATTCCATCCACAGTTAGTGACTGCTGAAGACCGCGCGCTTTGAGCCAGTGGTCGGCGACTGCTTACTGTATCCTCTCCACATACCCACCCAATGACGGTCCGAATGCTACTCCACTCCTCGCAGCCGTTTCCACTCCCGATGGGCTTCCCTTCTTCTGAAACTACGAGTAATAGGAAGTTCTCCGGATACCTACGGTCTATCCTGGGGAGGTGAGCATTCTCCACTTGCCTACGACTTGCAGCGGCGCCAAACGAGACCCGAATAGCGTCCCTCGGCCCGGTCACGTTACTGAAACCTGGATCTCTCGCAACTCCATCCCCGAAAGGGTTGGTCCATGCCCAACCGGGACGTTAATTTGCCCTAATTCGTCCCCTTGGAGTGGCCAACTTTTTTTTTGAAGTTGATAACTAAAAAGTCAAGGGACCGAATGCGTCATTTGAGAGAGGT